AACAAACAGAACAACCAGGAACTCCATCTGGGTCTCCCATATGGGCAACAAAGACCCAAGTACTTGAGCTATTACCATTTCTGCCATTAGTATCGCCAGGGTGCACATCAGCAAGAAGCTGGACTCAGTCCCAGGCACTCCGTATTCAAACTTGACCTTGGCCTCTCCTCACTGTGTTTAAGAGCAGGGTCTCTGGAGATACCCATTGCACCACAACAATGGCCACCGGGCTGAATTCTGAGTCAGGTGTCAAGGCAGACAGCCTCAAGGAGTGCATGGTGAGCATTCCTTCATCAGCTCCTGCTTGGGCTGTGCCACCAATCTGGCCCTGCCTCCTCACTGCCTCCCCGGATGCTCCTGTCAGCTCTCATCCAGGCCTGGGAATCGCTGCTGTCAGTCCCTTATCAAAAATTAGATCCCAGGGGTAGGCACTTGGCAGAACATTTAAACCATTGTTGGGATGCCTGCGTCCCATTTCAGATCGCCTAGCTTCAAGTCTGGGCTCTGCTCTCCATTCCAGTTTTCTGCTAATGTTCGTTCTGAGTGCTCAAGTACTTGGGTCCCTGCCGACCAAGTGGGAGACCAGGCTGAGTTCCTGGCTCAAGTTCTGGCTGCTCTACTTTCAGTTTAGCTTCTGCTAATGCTCTTGGGAAGGCAATATGATCCAGTAAGTAGCTGGGCCCCTGCCACCTGCACAGGAGACCTGGATGGAGTTCCTGGCTCATAGTTTCAGCCTGGCCTTACTCTGACTGTTGGAATGAACCAACAGTTGGGAGATTCATTCCCCCCTCCTCCCTTCTCTCCTTTTCTCCCTCTCTCCCTTTCTTTCTCTGCCTTTCAAATAAATTCTAAAAAAAATGTTAAGTGAACCCCAGTGTGCTGGGTAATTTATGGGGTGTTATTACTGTCACCATTCCCCAGCCCTAGTAGCCTTTGACATAGACTTACTGGGTCTCAGTATCTTTTCCTTACCTGGCAGTTTTTATTTGAAAGTCCTCTGGAAAGCGAAACTCATTAAGTCAAGGAAACAGCACAGTTTCCCCTAAGGCTAACACAGTCAACGCCTCAGGGCTGACCTCAGTTCTGAGAGCAGCAGGAACCCACAGGCAGAACTCCCAATCACAGACTTGAAATCTACTTGTCACCCCTATTGCTAACACCCCCCATGTTATACTTGAATTGAGATATTTCTAGGAACTGCAAGACTTGATCAAATAAAGGGATACCCAGACAGACAGGAACCTACCTTTTACTATTCTGAAAGAAACATGCTGTCCCCTAAACACTGACCCATCAAGGAAGGCCACACACTGAGGACCACCCTGAGACCCACACATGAGCTGATCATGCAGGGTGCATCTCAACTCCGGACTATAAGACTCACAGCCTTAACTCTTGGAGAGGCTGGGAATTCATCAGTAACTTCCCAGCTCCGCTCTTTCTTCCACCAGCCTGATGTCCACGATTGGCTTTCTGTGAGCTGGGCAAGCGGACCCCGTTCTGGGTTCTGTAGCAACTCCTCCAACGAACGTTGGGGTTGTGTTGCAGCATCACCTTGGCCACCTGCTGTAGTGGTCCCAATTGAAAGGATTCCCGGAGAATAGCTTACCAAGCTCTAAGCAGCCGAGGACCCCAAGGACAAGCCCCATCGTGTGGTACAGAGGCAGGACTACGTAGATGACATCGTCAGCTCTGGCCCCACACAAAGACAGCATTTTGCTCATCTGCAAGACCTTCTCCTGCGTGAGGATGGCCGGCTTTGGGAGCCCTGAGGGATGACAGAATGGGAGCTGAGAGGGTAAGGGGATTGCACAGAGGGGAGAGTGAGTGTCCGAGGGCCGTCAAGCATGGGGATCTGCGATTGGGTTCAGAGGCCAGATGCAGATGGAAAGTAACAGGTCAACACCAAAGGTCAGGAAGGGTTTCAGTAGCTGCTCACTGGGCAGAGGCAGGGTTCTGGCACTGGTCACTCAAGTCACGTTGTCAGTCAGAGGGCAGTGTGGGTTTCAGAGGTCATTTGAAGCACAGGACAAGGCTGGAGTTAGGTCGGGGTGAGAGTTCAAAGGCTGGGGCTGGGGCTGCTGGAACCCTTACCAGTGGTCCCTGAGGTGTAGATGAACATAGCAGGGCTTTTCCATGTGACCCCAGCACGTAGGTCAGCAGGCACTGGGCTGGAGGGCGCAGTGTCCAGGGCAGCTCCCAGAGCCCCCACCCCCGGTGTGGGGGAGCTGTGGCTAAGGTAGAAGCAGCAGATGTTCTCCTCCTGCAGCTTGGGAAGGACTTCCTGCAGGCTCTCCTGGAGGTCTGCAGGAATGGGGTAGAGAGGAAACTGAGGCAAGGTGCACCCTGGTCACGGGGCTGGGGGGGGGGCGCTGACCCAGAGCTAGGGCAGAGGAGTAGCTAGCAGAGACAAACTTGCGCATATTCTCTCAAAGAAGGATTGAAACAGCCCAGGTGAGGGGAGAAGACTGAGAGACTGGTGACCTCAGTACTACTTTCCCGTTACGTTTCAAGTCTAATCGCTTGTGGTGGTGGATGAGTGGGAGCAAAAGGCTCTGCCCAGCCCCCACCCCCACCCCGGACTCCTGTCCTGCAGTCCATCCCTTGCCCCGTTCACTTCCATCCTCTGCTGGCCCAGGGGCCCTTACCTGGGTCCACCAGCAGCACCCTGGCCCCCGAAGTCAGCACAGCATGCACCAGGGGGGCACCTCGGCCATGTGGGTTGATCCAGGCTACTGGGCAGCCCAGCTTGGTCAGCCCCAGATACAAACTCAGAGCAGGGATGGCGTGGGAGGTCAGCACCAGGAGGGCAACAGGCTCCCCAGGAGTTGGGCCACCATGGCTGCCCAGCTGAGCCTTCAGAGCCCACGCTGCCTGGCAGGCCCTGGCATCCAGCTCCTTGAAGGTGACAGAGCAGGCCCCAGGACCCGTCCAAACCAAAGATGTGTGGCCAGGCTGCGCTCGTGCTTGCCGCTCAAAGGCATCCACCAAGGTGTCAGGAGGCTGTCGATTCAAGCGTCTCTTGATCTTCAGTCCCAGGTGGATGAGCCTGACAAAGTAGGCGATGTCTGTGGGCAGCCAGCGCAGGCCCGGGGGCGGCCGTGAGGGTAGCACGGTCAGCATGAGGGCCGCAGCTGCAAGGCTCAGCCAGTGGGGCATCCAGGGGCTGAGCCAGGGTTGTGCCAGCACAGCCAGACCAAGCAGTACGCAGCACGTGGGGTCCCCCAGGAGCCAGCGTAGGGCCAGAGCCATTGCTGCTGGCCACAAGGGCTGCCCCAGGCCCCCCAGCAGAAATAACAGCAGCAGTAGAGAGGCGAGCTGCTGTCTTCCACCCATAGCCCCAGCTCTCTTCTGGACAAATGGCTGCAAATTCACAGGCTTATCTCTGTCCAGGGCTCCTGGCCGCAATGTCCAGCCCATCCACCCCGCCCTGGAGGCGGTGGCTCAGGCTCGGCTGGCAGTGGCTGCTCCGGTCTCCTGGTCTAGAACTCTGCCCCCAGCTCTTCTCCTGTTTTGCTGTTTATCTTCCTTATCAGCCCTGTCTTTCTCCAGAGGTCTTTCTCCTCCTTGGGCACCACCACCAGCCTGCCTGCTGTCCTGTTCGCCCAGTCCCCCCTCCCAGGGCTGGCAACTGCCTCCAACCGTGCCCGTTCTGTACAGGAACTTGAGAGACCGACTTTAGAGATGTTCCAGCAAGTCCAACAGGAAAGCAACAGGACAAGGTCGTCCTGGCCGCAGGCACCGCCTGATGCTCTGCCCTCCTCTGCACCCACCTGATGTGCGGAAGAGACCTGACCGGGCTACAGCCCTTCGTCCCCAGTGATGAGAAGTCTAACCTCCTTCCCGGGGCCAAGCACTGCTCATTTAAATGCAGCTCTGTTCCCTCCCACGTGCCTACTCTCTTTGCCCCACTTTTGGCATTGATGGAGATTCAGTCCTGGCCTTCACACGCAGAGCTGGACTGGGAAACCTTGTCCCCTCACCACTGGGAGGCAGTCAGAGAGAGATTTCAAAGGGGCCACCACTGGCCCATGAGCCCTCCAGGCTAGAGTCCCCTCTGTCCACTCCAAGTGCTTGGAATAGGGCACCTGGGTCAGGAGTTGCGAATGTGCTGGGGACAGATGGGGAGAATGGCTCCCCAGGGCTGAGCTGGTCAGGGAGCCCTGTGACACTGGCTCACAGCAGGGGTTGGGCGGCACAGCCGTCACTCACTGAGAAGCCACCTACTCTGGAACGTGGCCACCAATGGCCAGGGCAGGCTCTCCAAAGGTAACTTGCTCAACCATCATGCCCATCTGCAGGTGGCAGGGGAAGTTTTTTTTTTTTTTTTTTTTTTTTTGACAGGCAGAGTGGACAGTGAGAGAGACAGAGAGAAAGGTCTTCCTTTGCCGTTGGTTCACCCTCCAATGGCCGCCGCGGCCGGCGCACCGTGCTGATCCGATGGCAGGAGCCAGGAGCCAGGTGCTTCTCCTGGTCTCCCATGGGGTGCAGGGCCCAAGCACCTGGGCCATCCTCCACTGCACTCCCTGGCCACAGCAGAGAGCTGGCCTGGAAGAGGGGCAACCGGGACAGAATCCGGCGCCCCGACCGGGACTAGAACCTGGTGTGCCGGCGCCGCTAGGCGCAGGATTAGCCTAGTGAGCCGCGGCGCCGGCTGGCAGGGGTTTTAAAGTCCAGATTCTGAGAGTCTGGTTGGAAGATTGAAACAGACTTGGTGAGCGACAGAGGGCTACAGGGTGACGGGTTTGTGGTCTCTCTCTCCAAGACCTATTTCTGCAGGAGCTGGCCTCTGCCCCTCCCACAGGACCAAGTGCTCCAAAAGAACTGAATGCCAGCCACACTCGTAGCGCGTCCCAGTACCCGGAACTGAGGCTCAGTTTACCTAAGTGGTGCCCAGGGAGGTGGGGGTGGCAGCAGGGGTACTGCCCAGGGCTGGGGACGTTGAGTCCCAATCATCACAGCTCAGCGCTGATCTCAGTGCACACAACGTCACGCACTCGTGCCCCATGGCTCATCATTGTTTATTACAGGGAGGGGAATCCTGAGGCCGGCCCCATGCCAGGGCAGGTCCACCTGGGCCTCCTTAAGCGCCCCAAGGGACAGGTAGAGCTCGGGATGGGGAGCCGGGGACTTCACCTCGCCAGACATGGGGGCAGGGAAGCAACCCAAATTCCACCTCACTACGACTAGTGCAGGGTGCGGACCGGGGTCAGACACACAAGTCCAGGGCCAGGTCCAAGGACCTCAGCGTCCAGCTCACGTGGGAGGGGCTCCAGTTCTCAGAAGCGGGAGCCCCTAACATCCCCTGCCCTGACCCGGCACGGCCCAGAGGATCCAGTGGGCTGGACCTCGAGGTCTGGCGTAGAGAAAGGGGTAGGGGAGGAGGAGAGCCTGCGCTGGGGGGAGGGCGTGGTGTACGGGCGGGAATATGGTCAAGGCGCTGCTGCTGCAGCAACCAGGCTCCACTGGACCGAGGCGACCGGCCACGCAGTGGGTGCAGCCAGTCCCCACCGAATCCTCAGGCCCTGGGCCCCCGTCAGGGCGCAGGATGCGTAGCCAGGTGGCGCTCCAGCAGCGCGCGGTGGGAAAAGACCTTGCCGCAGGCTGGGCAGGGCGCGCGCTCCGGCCGGTGCGTGCGCATGTGCACATTGAGGGAGCTCTTCTGCGTGAAGCGCTTGGCACAGACCGCGCACTGGAAGGCGCGCACTCCAGTGTGCGTGACCATATGCTTGAGCAAGTAGTCGCGTAGCGAGAAGGATCGCCAGCACACGGCACACTGGTGCGGCTTCTCCCCTGCGGATGACAGCGTGCGTCCGTTAGACCGCCCGGCTCTCCCAGGTAACTCGTGTCTGGCAGGGGCTTCCATCCCCTCCACAACCACCCACCATCCTGGGATCCCCTGCCCGACAGAACTCACACATACACACCCCGGTGCGTCTCCCTCCATGGGGGTGCCCTCTCCCAGACCCACACCGTCCCCGACTGGCAGCACCTCCCCACCCAATCTAACAGGCATGCTCCCAGCAGGGATCGCTGCCCATCTGGACTGCCCACGTGGGTCTCCCCTGACCGCCACCAGACCCACCGGCACCTGGAGACTCCCTGGGGCGCTGTTCCCCAGCCCAGCCACATCCCGGGCTCAAGACTCAGCGTCAGCTCTCCAAAGGCTCTGAGCACGTTCCTGCTCCCCAACCCAGCCTCAAGATGCCCCCTAAAAGGGAGGACCCCACTTCGGGGGTTTGCCTTGCCCACAAGCCTGGCACGTGGGGAATTCCATCTCCTGGCTCCCTGGCTCCCTCCACCTCCCGCCCCTGCTCACCCGAGTGGATGAACATGTGCTTGGTGTAGTTCTTCCTGGAGCTGAAGGTTTTCCGGCAGTGGCTGCACTCGTAGGCCGGCGGCTCCGCACCCGGAGCTCGAACAGGTGTGACTGGAGGGGCGGCAGCCGGAGCGGCAGGCTGAGCTGGGGCGTCCCCGAGCTGCACGCTGGGGGCAGCCTCTGGCTGGAGCGCGGGATAGAAAGCAGGGGGCGGGCCGGGGGCTGGTCCCGATGGGGTGGGAGGGGTAGGTGCGGGCGGCCCGGGGGCGCCCAGGTGGAAGGGGAAGAGAGGCACGGGCGGCCCTGGGGTCTTCACGCTGGGAGCATGGGGTGCAGCCAGGACGCAGTCGGGTGGGACCGGGGTCTCCGCAGCGGCGCTGTCCTCCTCGTGCCAGGCAGTCACGTAGCTCTCTGGGAACGCACCCTCAGCCACCGCGGCCCCTCGAAGGAAGTCCCTCCCAGCGCCGCCGTAGTCAGCGAGCCCGGTGGGTGCGGGCGGCTCCTCACGCGCTCTGTCGGCGGCGGCGGTGAGGAAGCCGGCAGCACAGTCCGGAAAGGAAGGGGGTGCCTGGCCCTCCCCCGGCCCGCCGCCTTCGCCATCGTCGCCATCACTGTCCTCGTCTGTCTCCTCCTCGTCCTCGTCATCGTCCCCTCGGTCGTCGGGGGCTGCAGGCAGCGCGGGGTCGGCGTCGGGTCCTTCCACCTTGGCTGGCGCCGGAGGCGCAGGCAGCTGCAGGCGTGCAGGCTGGCGCTGCTTGCGGCTGTGCGCGATGCCGGGGTGCCCCGGAGGGCGCGCTGCCAACAAATGGCGCAGGCGGTGGCGCAGCTGCGCCGGAGCAAGCGGTGGGGGCACGGGCGCGGGCAGGGGTGCAGGCGCTGGGGCGCCCGGGGCACGAGTGCGGGCAATGATCTGCGTGCATTCATCGATAACGGTCTGGATGCGGAGCACCGACGCCGCGGTGAGCACCTGCAGCGCCTCGCCCTGCGCCACCACGAGCGAGCCGCTGTACAGGAACTCCACGAGCTGGCGCACCGTTTGCGCGGGCACCACCGGCGGCACGCGTATCTCGGAGTGCCCCAGCAGCAGCTTGTCCTGGAAGAAGGGCGAGCCGGCGGCCAGCACGCAGCGGTGCGCGCGGAGCGAGGCCTCGCGGATGCGCACGGTCACGTCGCAGAAGTGCCCGCCCAGCCTCTGGCCGTTGAGCGTTTCAAGCAGGGAGCGGGAGAAGTTCTGCAGGTGGATGTGGTGCACCGCCTCTGCCGCCGCCATCTACACGGATGAAGCACGGATGAAGGGGTGGGGCGGGGAGACGTCAGTGCTGCCCGCCCCAGGTTCCCGTCCCTTCGGACCTTACAGGAGAGGATCCAGAGTCCTCTCCCCTCCTGCCCAGCAACCCCCCCCCCGTTCGCAACTCAGGACACACCAGGACCCCTCCCACACACGCCCCACTCAGTCCTCTGCAGTGCCTGCCACCTCCACAGCCACGAGGAAACCCCTAAAAGAGGGTGGGAATACTAAAGGTCTATCCCCAACCCCCGTCCTGCTCAGGGCCCCACAGGACGCCCAGGGCTTGCCCTCCACCCCCAACTCCAAGTGAGGCCAGGGACCCCCACGCAGAACTGGCTGCCCCATCCCACCCAGAGCAGATCTCATGGCAGGAACACTGGTCCCCATCTCCACCAACTAGCTGTGACTCCTGCCGCTCCTGACTTTTTGGGGGGAGGGGTCTCTCTTCATCACATCTCTCAGCTTAGAGCCTCTAAAACCCTGTGTGATCCAGGCATCCCAAATGGGCGCCGGTTCGAGTCCCGGCTGGTCCACTTCCGATCTGGCTCCCTGCTAATGCGCCTGGGAAAGCAGCAGAGGATGACCCAAGTGGGAGACCCAGAGGAAGCTCGCCGCTGCTGGTTCAGGGCGGCTCAGCTCCGTCGTTGCTGCCATTTGGGAATTGAACCAGTAGAGGGAAGACTTTCTCTGTCTCTACCTCTCTCTGTAACTGTCTTTCAAATAAATAAAATAAAAATCTTTTAAAAAAAATAGGGGTACATTAACTAGGGTATATGGAGTTTGTCACAGGTGGTAGGGGGCACATCTGCCTCCTGGGCAGAGCTGTTTGGGACAAAGGACTGACATGGAAGGGTGGGCATCAGCCTGGCAGGCATACATGGTTCGGAGCACACTCTAGTCCGGCAGGCAGGGGTGCTCCCTGCAGCACCAGCTCTGCTTGGCATCTCCATGGGGCCTGCGTGGAGAGGGGGCACGTGTGGACTTTGCAAGGCTGTGTGGCTGGCTGGACAAGAGCAGAGCAGCACAGGCCACAGGCATGGCTGAACCATCCCTGTGCGTCTTGGGAACCTGTGGCCCCGTAATCCCAGCACTGTCCTGTCTTGCACCAGAGGAAAACCCCCCCAGAGAAGGCTGGCAATCTAGGAAACTCTGCCTCTTCACCCATGAAGCAAGCGACCATTTGTCAACAAGGATGCAGGGATGAGCGGTGGGCGTGGCAGTTAAAGTACCCCACCCACATCTCAAAGCTGAGTGCCTGGGGCTGAGCTCTGGCTCAGATGATGCCTCAAGTCTCTGGGTCCCTGGGCGCCCCTACCCCTCCTTGTAAGAGGCTGGGATGGCGTTTACAGCGGCTAGCTTCTGCCTAGCCCAGGCTGTTATGGGCATTTGAGGAGTGAGCTAGCAGATGAAGGAGCTCTCTCTCTCTGTCTTTGAATAAGTAAGTAAATATAAATAAAGATCGGGGATGAGATACTGGGCTCATCCTCCACCCAGAACGCCCGTACCCACAGTCTCAGGGAGAAGAATCAGGACACAGGATGCACCCTGAGACTGGTCCACTTTCCACCGGGCCCCCGGCGAGGGCCCCACTTAACCCTCAGGATCCACTGGGGTCTCAGGCTCCGTCCCTGCGGCTCCGCCTTCTCTTTGCCCCCAGCCGGACCTTTCCTCTTTCATGTCCCGCCTCTGCCCCGCAGGCCCCACACCTGCAGTGGCCTGGCTACCGCCGGCCTGGATCGCCGTGTTGGTCCTCTCCGGCGTCTATTCGCCACGCAGCAGCCAGAGGGAGCCTGTTCGGACGAAACAGGTCTGGACCCTCCTCGGCTCAGAGGCCTCCATGGCAATGAATTGATTCCTGGAACCGGCCAAGCGTTTGCATGCGCGAAGACTGACCTCCGCCCACAGCGCCCTTCCCCATCCTAGTCCACCCGGTTCCCGCAGGACTTCAAGTCCGGGCCCAGACGCCGGGCACGGCCCCAGTCTGGACTCCTCTGCTGACCCTCCCTCGCCCTGCTCCCGGGAGGACTCCGGTCCCACAGTCCAGATACAGCAGGGCCTTCTTGGATGCGTGCGAACAAAGGCCCACCTTGGAGACCGACCCTCCCGCGTCTGGCGCCCAACACTGGCCGCCACGGCTTCGCCCACGCCATGCACTTGGCTCCAGACACCCTGTGCAGTACTCTACGCCATCGCCCGGGCCCCACCCCGAGAGCGCCTCCGACCCGCTGCCGCAGCACCCGCTCAGCCCCCGCCGACCTGGGTTTCCCGCCTCGGTACCCTGGCCCGCTCGGCGCCCCGATCCTGTAGCGCCCTCTCGCGTTCTCCGCAGGACCTCCGAGGCAAGCGCGGGCGCCACACCCCTGGCAGGCCGGGCCTTCTCGGCGGCCCTGCAGCAGGGGATGCCCGCCCGACCCCACCTCCGGCTCCTCCTCAGGCACCAGGCCCCGCAGCGGCCGCCTCCCGCTCACCAACGCCAAGGCCACACTTCCGGGCCGCTCCGCCGGCGGAACCCAAGTCCGGGGCCGCTGCGGCGCAGGGGGGCGCATTAGGACAAAGCACGCTTCCGGTGTTTCCATGGAGATTAGCGGCGGCCGCCAACTGAGCTTCCGGCCCTGCGTAGAGTCGGACTCAGGTTCGCAGAGGCTCCGGCGGCTGCAGCGCGAGGACGCTCCCGGCCTGAAGTGACCCCGGCGGAGGGCGGGCTCGAGCCGTCCTTCAACGGGCCGCACGCCCGAGCGCGGGACACCGGGCGGAGGAGGATGGGTCGGCAGCTCGCGGCCGGGGCTCCCCGATCCCTGCCGGCTGGCTTCATCCCCGCTGCAACCTGGGGAGGCAGCCTTCCCCCCATAACGCAGGTGGGCGCACCAGGAGGACTGACCGCTGCCCGGCCGGGCGCAGCCCCGCCTGAGGCCCTTCAGCCGCCCCGCAGGACCACCGCCCGCGGGGGGAGGGGGACGGGAACGAGGGGACCCACCCTAGCCCTGGCTCCCACCCTCGGCCCCTGGGCCAGTGGAAGCAGCCTGACCCCCACTCTGCAGCCCGCTGGGCCCACCTGCCCCAGGAGAGGTGTCAACAGAGCAAGAGATGGCACCGACCTGCTCAACACCCCCAGGCCAACACTTAGAACAAAAGGGGGTGTCGAGGCCAGACACGTGGGAGAGCTGTCCCAGCAGACGGAACAACCTAGGTCCACAAGGGCCCTGAAGTGGGACTGCCTGTGAGCCCGGCCAGGGAGGTGGCGAGCCGGCCCTGTGGCCACTGTGTGAGGGCAGGCAGTGATGGGGCTGGAACAAGGGCTTAAGAGGACTGCACGCCTCTGCCCCGGGATCTCCTGGCCTGTGTTGCAGACGTGGGGTTTGAGAGGGGAGCACGGGTGCCAGGTGAGAAACTGAGGCAGCAGTGATGGCTCACGAACCCGGGTCCCTGCCACCCTCGTGGGGGAATTGGATTGTGCCTGGCTCATCCTCCCACCCCTGCCCTTTGCAGGAATTTGGAGAGTGAACCAGCAGATGTAAAATGTCTCTTTCTCTGTCTCTCTGCCTTTAAAATAAATGAAGCTAAATAAATTAAAATTAAAAAAAAAAATCCAACTTTAGGAGCAGATGTCTGGCACAGTGGTTCACACATCATTCGGGAGACCTGCATCCCATGCTGGGGTGCCTGGGTCGTGTCCCAGCCCTACTCCCTGTTCCAGCTGCCTGCTCACGCATACACTTGGAGGCGACAGATGATGTGAGTGATCACCACCCACACAGGAAACCTGGACTGAATTCCCCACTCCCAGCCTCAGCCTGGCCCACCCCCAGCTGTTGTAGGCATTTGGGAGGGAAACAGCAGATAGATCGATCTCTCTGCTTTTCACATAAATAGAAATAATTTTTTTACAATTTATTTGTTTATTCAAAAGGCAGAGTTACAGAGAGGCAAAGGCAGAGAGGTCTTCCTTCCACTGGTTCACTCCCCAAATAGCCGCAACAGCCAGAGCTGCACTGATCCAAAGCCAGGAGCCAGGAGCTTCCTCCAGGTCTCCCATGTGGGTGCAGGGGCCCAAGCGTCTGGGCTATCTTCTGTTGTCTTCCCAGGCAATAGCAGAGAGCTGGATCGCAAGTGGAGCAGCTGGGACTCAAACCATGGTCCATATAGGATGCTGGCTCTGTAGATGGCAGCTTTACCCGCTACGTCACGGCGCTGGCCCCTAGACATAAATATTTTTACAAGTTGGTGAGGCCAGTGTTGTGGTGTAGTGGGTTAAGCTGCTGCCTGCGGCAACAGCATCCTGCATGAGTGCTGATCCAAGTCCAGGCTGCTCCGTTTCCAATCCAGCTCCTGGCTAATGCTCCTGGGAAAGCAGCGGAGGATGGCCCGAGTCCTTGGGCCCCTGCACCCACATGGGAGACCTGGATGCCCCAGCTGTTGTTGCCATTTGGGGGAGTGAACCAGGGAATGAAGAATCTCTGTCTCTTCTCTCTATGTAACTTAACTTTCAAATAAATAAATCTGTCTTTTTAAAAAACTCTAGGGGCATGGTGGTAAGACACTTGTGTTCCATATTGGACTGAGGTCAGCGTTGCTCCAGCTCCTGAGAATGCAGGCCCTGGGAGGCAGTGGTGATGGCTCCAGTAACTGGGTGTCTGCCACCCTTGGGGAAGACCTGGGTTGAGTTCCTGGCCCGTGAGCTCAGCCCTGGTCAATAAGGGCATTGAGGGCATGACTCAGTAGATGGGGCAGTGTGCTGTCCCCTCTGCTTGTCTCTCTGCAAAAGGTGTGTGTGTGTAGGTGTGTGTTTTAAAACAAAAAACAAGGCTAATGTCGTGCTTCATTGTTTTTTAGACTCTGAGCCCCGTGCTCTGGCCCACTGGGTCTGCTTTCACCAACCCTGACAATCTCCTCTCTGTTCATTTCTTTCCAGCCTCGTGGGCCACTTGGTGTGCCTCCCTTGAGGTGGGCCCATGCAGTTTCCTTTGTGTAGTTCCTTGTCACACAGCTTAGATGCTGTCACCCTGGGACCTCAAGTGCCTTCCTCTGTCTTCTGACACCAGGTTTGTTAAAGGGGAGGGTTCTGTGTCCTTCATATTGGTACTTTCTGTGCAACACAGACAGGAATAGCGATTTCACTCTACCTTGGGCCACAACTGAACTTGGCCCAGGAGAGCTCTGGAACACTGCAAGTCAGTTTGATAGGGGGAGGCAGTTTTTTTGTTTGTTTGTTTTGTTATTTAAGATTTATTTTATCTATTTGAGAGGGAGAGAGAGAGAGAGGTCTTCCATCCCATCTACTGGTTCACTCCCCAAATGACCACAGTGGCCAGAGCTGAGCCAATCCGAAGCCAGGAGACCACAGTTTCTTCCAGGTCTCCCATGTGGGTGCAGGGGCCCAGGCACTTGGGCCATCTTCCACTGCTCTCAGGCCATCATGGGAGCTGGATCAGAAGTGGAGCAGCTGGGACTCAAACCAGCACCCATATGGGATGCCAGTGCTGCAGGAGGAGGCCTAACCTATGCCACAGTGCCAGCCCGAGGGAGGCAGAATTTTAAAAACTTTCCCACTCCAAGATTATATGCCAAGACCTCTAGAAGGTATAAATATAATGAATTGTGAGTAGTTACACTTCATGGTCAAAGGGGCTTTTTTTTTTTTTTTTTTTTTTTTTTTTTTTTTAAGATTTTATTTATTTGAAAGAGTTACAGAGAGAGGTAGAGACAGAGAGAGAGGTCCTCCAACCAATGGTTCACTTCCCAAATGGCTGCAACGGCCAGAGCCGAGCCGATCTGAAGCCAGGAGCCAGGAGCTTCTTCTGGGTCTCCCACGTGGTGCAGGGGCCCAAGGACTTGGGCCATCTTCTACTGCTTTCCCAGGCCATAGCAGAGAGCTGGATTGGAAGTAGGGCAGCCGGGACTTGAACTGGTGCCCACATGCGATGCTGGCACTTCAAGCTGGGGCTTTAACCTGCTGTGCCACAATGCTGGCCCCTCAAAGGGGCTTTTACAGACAAATGTGATTAAGGTTATGTCACGAATGCCACTTGTCACATAGCTTGACAAGGCTAATGCAGCGTGTCAGAGCATGGGGAAGAATCACACAGAATTGTGATAGTCTTTTTAATATAATTTATTTAATAATATCTATCTCTTTGTGTGTATATATATATATATATATTCAAGGCACACACCTAAAGGTCAATATCACTCAATATGTCATTAGTCCACAGGTCATAACACACATCTAGGAGTTAGGAAACTTCCAGAAATATCAAGCAATAGTATAACACATAGAAAGCATAAAAGTATAACCAATCTAAACACTCATGGCTTAGGATGTAATATGAATGCTGCGTTCTCAAGGTTCCTATCACAGTCACGAAAGGTCAAAGTCTGAAGTCCAGAGTTCAAAGTCTCTGTTACCACTCAGAGAGACGGATTTCAGAACAGTACTTACAGGCAGGAGTCGTGGGATGACTGGCATGTTGGGCAGTAGGCTCGAAGTTCCAAGGCGGACGGCAAGGTGAAGGGTTGGAGAGCTCACCTGAAGAGCGGTCCGGTCGGGTCCAACATCAGGTCTGGCAGCTGGGACATCCAGGCGAGGTGGCTCCAGCAGGGTGGCAGGCAGAGCTCAGGCAGTGGAGATGCGGGCAGAGTTTCACTTGCACTGAGCCGTGGTCCCCTAGGGGATGCAGAGCTGTTGTGAGGTTTGCCTTTTCATCCCCACTCTGGGTTAGGTGGGCGGTGAAGGTGTCCTGGGTGTCACCAACCACAAGCTCATCTTTTGGGGTGTCACCAACCAGATGTGGGTGTCTGGATGTGACCAGTGGTGTTTTGGGGGTCTTCTGGGTGTGGCCAGTCATGGTGCATAGTGTGGGTGAAGTAGTGCAGTGGCCAGCTGGTTGGCTTCTTCTAATGTAATGTCCCCCAGTCCTTATCAGGCCTCACCACCAGTCTGTTCTGACAGATGGTCTAGGCAGTTCCTGGTGCTCAGTGGCCTTAGCTTAAGTATCTCCATTTTGGTTTTGCTTTTTCTCTTTCTTTTTGGGTTAGTGGTGCTCTGTAACTCTTTTGGGACTCCTGTGGGATTCTCCACAGTTTATTAATCAGCTGATCTTAGGCCGGCGCCGCGGCTCACTAGGCTAATCCTCTGCCTAGCGGCGCCAGCACACCGGGTTCTAGTCCCGGTTGGGGTGCCGGATTCTGTCCCGGTTGCCCCTCTTCCAGGCCAGCTCTCTGCTGTGGCCAGGGAGTGCAGTGGAGGATGGCCCAGGTGCTTGGGCCCTGCACCCCATGGGAGACCAGGAAAAGCACCTGGCTCCTGGCTCCTGCCATCGGATCAGTGCGGTGCGCCGGCCGCAGCGCGCTGGCCGCGGCGGCCATTGGAGGGTGAACCAACGGCAAAAGGAAGACCTTTCTCTCTGTCTCACTCTCTCACTGTCCACTCTGCCTGTCAAAAAAAAAATAATAAATAAAATAAATAAAAAAAATAATCAGCTGATCTTAAAAAGTGATGATCCTGGATTATTTGGGTAGGCCCAAAGTAATCCAAAAGGTTCCTTAAAGGTAGAAGAAGGCAGAAAGACTGGAATTGGAATGTAGAGTCTAGAGCCTTTGAAGATGGAGGCCACATAATGGAATTCAGTGGACAGAGGGTAAAGGGTGTCAAGTAAGAGGGGCTGGTATTGTGGCACAGTGTGTCAAGCCACCACTTGTGATGCCAGTTCAATTCTCTGCTGCTCTGGGTCTTTTTTTTTTTTTTTTTTTTGACAGGCAGAGTGGACAGTGAGAGAGAGAGAGAGAAAGGTCTTCCTTGGCCGTTGGTTCACCCTCCAATGGCCGCCGCGGCCGGCGCACCGCGCTGATCCGATGGCAGGAGCCAGGTACTTATCCTGGTCTCCCATGGGGTGCAGGGCCCAAGGACTTGGGCCATCCTCCACTGCACTCCCGGGCCACAGCAGAGAGCTGGCCTGGAAGAGGGGCGACCGGGACAGAATCCGGCACCCCGACCGGGACTAGAACCTGGTGTGCCGGTGCCGCAAGGCGGAGGATTAGCCTAGTGAGCCGCGGCGCCGGCCTGCTGCTCTGGTTCTAATCCAGCTTCCTGCTAATGCACCTGGGAGAGCCGCAAACGATGGGCCAAGTGCTTGGGCCCCTGCTACCAACATGACACTAAGCATACCAAACTCTGCCCAGATAGTTCCAGGCTCCTGGTTTTAGCCTAACCCAGCCCTGGCCATTGCAGTTCTTTGGGTTATTAACCAGCAGAGGAAGCTCTCTCTCCATCTCTCCCTTTCTCTGTAATTCAGCCTTTCAAATAAATAAATATTTGAAAGGGTAATTGGGAAGACAGTGGACCTGTTGGGGTAGCAAATGCAGGAGGCTCAGGTGGTCACAGTGGCTGCTTTGATCTTGGCAAAAAAATGGCAGGAGATGGATTTAGGGTCGGAAGGAGAGAGCATAGGTAGCTTCAGAAGTCTCAGCCCCGAGGGAAGAGGCCTGGAAGATGCAGTAAAGATGGTAGTGGAGGACCTGACCCAGTGGCGTTCTGGGACAAAACCCTTTTATGACATTTGAATACGCCGGTAAATGTGTGAAGCTAGTTGGGGCATTGCATGAAAGATTCAGGATGTGAAAAGTAAACAAATGAAATCTAACATCTTTCCTACACTGTTCAATGTGGAACCATTCATGTGCCTGAACTTAACCTACAACATGAAATCACTCAGCTCCACAGCAATGATGAGCTGAAAGCTAAGTACAACTCCCCACTGCTTGAGTTCTTTTTCAAAAAAAAAATTATTGCCGGCGCCGCGGCTCACTAGGCTAATCCTCCGCCTAGCGGCGCCGGCACACCAGGTTCTAGTCCCGGTCGGGGCGCCGGATTCTGTCCCGGTTGCCCCTCTTCCAGGCCAGCCCTCTGCTATGGCCAGGGAGTGCAGTGGAGGATGGCCCAGGTGCTTGGGCCCTGCACCCCATGGGAGACCAGGAGAAGCACCTGGCTCCTGGCTCCTGCCATCGGATCAGCGCGGTGCGCCGGCCGCAGCGCGCCGGCCGCGGCGGCCATTGGAGGGTGAACCAACGGCAAAAGGAAGACCTTTCTCTCTGTCTCTCTCTCTCACTGTCCACTCTGCCTGTCAAAAAATAAAAAATAAATAAATAAATAAATAAAATAAAAAAAATTATTTATTTGAAAGTCAGAGTTACACAGAGAGAGAGAGAGAGAGAGAGAGAGCTTCCATCTGCTGGTTCGCCCCTCAGTTTGGCCGCAACGGCCAGAGCTGTGCCCATCGGAAGCCAGGAGCCAGGAGCTTCCTTTGGGTCTCCCACGTGGGTGTGCAGGAGGAGCCAGGAGCTTCCGTTGGGTCTCCCACGTGGGTGTGCAGGAGGAGCCAGGAGCTTCCCTTGGGTCTCCCACGTGGGTGTGCAGGAGGAGCCAGGAGCTTCCGTTGGGTCTCCCACGTGGGTGTGCAGGAGGAGCCAGGAGCTTCCGTTGGGTCTCCCACGTGGGTGTGCAGGAGGAGCCAGGAGCTTCGTTGGGTCTCCCACGTGGGTGTGCAGGAGGAGCCAGGAGCTTCCCTTGGGTCTCCCACCTGCAGGAGGAGCCAGGAGCTTCCGTTGGGTCTCCCACGTGGGTGTGGAGGAGGAGCCAGGAGCTTCCGTTGGGTCTCCCACGTGGGTGTGCAGGAGGAGCCAGGAGCTTCGTTGGGTCTCCCACCTGCAGGAGGAGCATTTCTTTTAAAGGCTGCCTCACAAGTGTCAGCTGAGCGCCAAGCAATTGCCTAGTAGCAATATCATCAATACCAGCTAACATCCCATGCCTCACCAAAGAAACGCATTACCAGCCATCACATTAAGGGTGAGTTAATGAAATGTTTGACCAAATGTAGCAAGCTAATTATTTTTAAGTTGGTAATTTTGTATGGCCCTCCCCATCCCTGCTCTTGGGGTAAAGACTAGTATTCAGGTGCCCATGTCATGTGGGATACAAGCACACAGCTTAGCCTACCAGGATCTTCCATTCAGCCCAGAGAGCAGGCACTGAGCATAACCCTCAGAAATATTGCCCAGCGGATAGGGGTGGCAAGGCAGATAACAGCTGTTGGGGCTGAGCTTTCCTGTCTGAAAAGAGGAAAGGAGCCACAGGAAGTGGGGAGAGGGCAGTGGCAGGACCTGTCTACACTGCAGAAAGACCTTGGAGGCTTTAGTTTAGGGAGAAGTCTAGAGGGAAGACCAAGAACCCAAGTCCTGGAGAGGCAATGGGTGGGTCTAGGCAAAGTGCCTTCAAGAATTAAACAAAAAAGTAACAATGAAACAGATTAAGGGCCCTCAACCAAAGGGGGTGGAATGGGGATGTTTGCAAAAGAAAGATTTAATGACCTGTAACAAGTAAAGGACACCCTTCTACTGTTGTAGACAGCTTGGGAAGGGCCTTTCTTAGTTCCCTCCCAGTGCATCCGCTGCCCCCCTGGGAACTGCTGCCACCCAAAGTAGCTGTGAGCCCAAGTTGCAGCCTTCATCGCCTCCAGACACCAACTTTCTCTTACAGGTTCCCCATTTCACATGCATAATTCAATAATTTACAGTAAATTAACTTAAAAAGGATTTAGGGGCTGGCGCTGTGGCATAGCTGCTATAGCAGGTTAAGGCACCACCTGCAGTGCAGGTGTCCTGTATGGGCGCCCACTCCCTACAGATCCAGCTTCCTGCTGATGAGTCTGGGAAAGCAGCGGAGGATGGCTCGAGTACTTGGGCTCCTGCACCCATGTGGGAGACCTGGAAGAAGCTCTTGGCTCCCGGCTGTGGTGTGGCCCAGCTTTGGCCATTGCAACCATTTGGAGAATGAATCAGCAGAAGGAAGATCTCTCTATGTCTCTCCCTTTCTCTCTGTAACTCTGCCTTTCAAATAAAATAAATAAATCTTTCAGAAAGTTTATTTATTGGAAGGCAGAGGGAAAGAGATAAAGATATATCATGGGGCCTGCTCTGTGGCACAGCAGGTTAAAGCCCCAGCCTGCGGCATTGGCATCCCATATGGGCATAGGTTTGAGTCCTGGCTGTCCACTTCCAATCCAGCTCTCTGCTATGGCCTGGGAAAGCAGTAGAAGATGGCCCAGGTCCTTGGGCCCCTGCACCACGTGGGAGACCCGGAAGAAGCTCCTGGCTTCAGCTTAGCTCAGCTCAGCCATCGTGGCCATTTGGGGAGTGAACCAGTGGATGCCGTGGATGAAAGATCTCTCTCTCTCTGCCTCTACCTCTCTCTGTAACTGACTTTCAAATCAATAAAATAAATCTAAAAAAAATCTCACATCCACTGATTCACTTCCCAAATAGCCAAAGCAGCCAGGACTTGGACCAGGCCCAAGCCAGGAGCCAGGAATTCCATATGGGTCTAGTATCCCATGTGGGTGGCAAGGGCCCAACTACTTGGACTGTATTGTGTTACCTTCCCAAGTGCATTAGCGTGGAGCTGGATCCTGGATCAAAAGTGCAGCTAGGACTTGAACCCACGCTCTGACATGGAAACCAGCATCACAAACCATGGCTTGACTAGCTGCACCACAGCATCGGCCTCATCAGTTTATCTTGTGTCATCCTCATCACTCGCCTGTTTCAGAACACTTCGTCCTCCCCAGTGAGGTCCCTCAGCCTGTTCACTGAGAATCTCTTTCCCCAGTCTAATGTCAGTATTGGTTTTTTTTGGTCTGAAATTGTTTTTTAGATTTACTTATTTGAGAGACAGAGATCTTTCATCTGCTGGTTCACTCCCCAAATGGCCACAACAGCATGGGCTGAGTCAGGCTGAACCAGGAACTCTGTCCAGGTACCCATGCAGGGGGCAGGGGCCTATGTGCTTAGACCCCCCCCCCCCCCACTGCTTTCCCAGGTGTATTGATCAGAAGTGGAACCAGGATCTGAACTGGTGCTCATATGAGAGGCTGGCATTGCAGGCAGTGGCTTAATCTGCTGACCAAAACACATCCCTTGTTCTGAACATTTTATATCAGTTAACCAAGCAGTGTGAGCTCTTGGTCCCTGCCCTCTGGCCCTGTTACTTAATTCAGGATCCTTACCCAAACCTTGTTTTATCTGGTCGGATTGAACAGTGTTTTCTATTCTGGAGTATCTGGTCTGAGAAGTGCTTCCTTCCAAGGTAAGCACTGAGGCAAAACAGCCGCTGAGCTCTGCTTCCTGGTCCTCTTCCTGTGGGCCCCTTGGAGTGGAGACTGCAGTCCAGGAGGAGTCCGCCTAGACTTGCCGTACCTCACTCATCCCCATTCTCTGGACAAGGCTCGTGCCCCGGCTTGTTTGTGTTTAACACTGATGAACTCTCCCCCCCACCTTCCTTTGCTTCCTTCTTCCCTCCCCCCCATTCCTTTCTTTCTCTGTTTCCTTTCTTTTCTTCCTCCTCTCATTCTTTCCTCACTCCCCATTTCTTCCTTCCTCCATTCTCTCTTCCTCCCTCCCTTTCTCTTTTCTTCTCCTTTCCTCCTCTCCTCCTTCTCTCCCTCCATTTCTTTCACTTCTCTTTGTTCCTTCGTTCCTCTCTCCCTCCATTCTGCCTCTCTCCCTCTCTGTCTCCCCTTCCTTCCTTCCTTCCTTCACTCCCCAACTGCATGCAACAACCAGGGCTGGGCAAGGCTGAACCCAGGGGGCAGCAGCTCAATCCAGATCTTCCATGGGGGTGGCAGGGACCCAAGTACCCAAGTACTTGAGCCATCACCTGCTGCCTCCCTGAACATAGCAGGAAGCTAAAATCAGAAGCAGAACTGGCACTGAAACCCAGATTCTCCAGTATGGGATCTGGGCATTCCAAGCAGCAATTTTTTTTTTTTTTTGACAGGCAGAGTTAGACAGTGAGAGAGATAGAGACAGAGAGAAAGGACTTCCTTCCATTGGTTCACCCCCCAAATGGCTGCGCCGATCCGAAGCCAGGAGCCAGGTGCTTCCTTCTGGTCTCCCATGTGGGTGCAGGGCCCAAGGACTTGGGCCATCCTCCACTGCACTCCCGGGCCACAGCAGAGAGCTGGCCTGGAAGAGGGGCAACTGGGACAGAACCAGCGCCCCGACCGGGACTAGAACCTGGAGTGCCGGCGCCGCAGGTAGAGGATTAGCCTAGTGAGCCGCGGCGCCGGCCCTCCAAGCAGCATTTTAACCATTGTGCCAAACATCCACCTCAACTCTTTTTTTTTTTTTTAAGATTTATTTATATATTTGAAAGTCAGAGTTACACAGAGAGGAGAGACAGAGAGGTCTTCCATCGATGTTTCACTCTCCAAATGGCTGTAATGGCCAGAGCTGCGCCGATCCGAAGCCAGGTGCCCGGAGCTTCTTCCACATCTCCCACGTGGGTGCAGGGTTCCAAGGACTTGGGCCATCTTCTACTGTTTTCCTAGGCTATAGCAGAGAGCTGGATAGGAAGTGGAGCAGCTGGGACTTGAACCCACGCCCAGTATGGATGCCAGCGCTTCAGGTTAGTGCGTTAACCCGCTGTGCCACAGGGCCAGCCCCGACCTCAACTATTTTTTAACTTCAGGAAGTATATTTTAAAACTAAGGATAATGGGGCCTGAGCTTTGGTGAAGCAGGTAAAGCCACTGGCTGCAGTGCAGGCATCCTATATGGGCACCAGTTGAAGTCCTGGCTGCTCTACTTCTGATCCAGCTCTCTGCTATGGCCTGGGAAAGCAGTAGAAGATGGCCCAAGTCCTTTGGCCACTGCTCCTGTCTTGGGGACCGGGAGAAGGCTCCTGGCTTCAGATTGACCCAGCTCTGGTCATTGTGGCCATTTAGGCAGTGAACCAGTGGATGAAGACCACTCTCTCTTTCTCTGCCTCTGCCTCTGTAAGTCTGCCTTTCAAATAAAATAAATCTTTTTTTTTTCTTTTTCTTTCTTTCTTTCTTTTTTTTTTTTTTTTTGACAGGCAGAGTAGACAGTGAGAGAGAGAGAGAGAAAGCTCTTCCTTCCGTTGGTTCACCCCCCAATGGCCGCTGCGGCCGGCGCACCGCGCTGATCCGAAGACAGGAGCCAGGTACTTATGCTGGTCTCCCATGCAGGTGCAGGGCCCAATCACTTACTTGGGCCATCCTCCACTGTACTCCCTGGCCACAGCAGAGAGCTGGCCTGGAAGAGGGGCAACCAGGACAGAATCTGGCGCCCCAACCGGGATTAGAACCCAGGGTGCCAACGCCGCAGGCAGAGGTTTAGCCTATTGAGCCGTGGCACTGGCCAATAAATCTTAAATAAATAAATAAAAACAAGGATAAGGGCCAGTGTTGTGGCATAGTAGGTTAAACATCAACTTATTTTAATATATTTTTATTTATTTGTTTGACAGAGTTACAGACAGTGAGAGAGAGACAGAGAGAAAGGTCTTCCTTCCGTTGGTTCACTCTCCAAATGGCTGCCACAGTCAGCACTGCGCCGATCTGAAGCCGGGAGCCAGGTGCTTCCTCCTGGTCTCCCATGCAGGTGCAGGGCCAAGGCACTTGGGCCATCCTCTACTTCCCTCCCAGGCCACAGCAGAGAGCTGGACTGGAAGAGGAGCAACCAGGACTAGAGCCCAGCACCCATATGGGATGCCGGTGCTGCAGGCGGATGATTAACTAAGTAAGCCATGGCATCGGCCCCAAATCTCCACTTACAATGCCAGCATGATATATCAGAATGCCTGTTTGAGTCCTGACTGTTCTTTTGATCTAGCCACCTGCAATGGGAAAGTACTTGGGCCCTCCCACCCATGAGGGAAACCAGCATGGAGATGCATGGCTCATGGTTTCAGCCTGGCCCAGACCTGGCTGTTGCAGCCATTTGGGGAACCAACAGTAGATGGAAGATTGCTCTCTTTGTCTCTCAATTTCTTTCTGCTGCTCTGCCCTTTAAATAAGTAAATAAATCTTAAAAATAAAACAAGGATGAGTTTCCTTGTAGCCTTTCTTCAGAAGATTCCTCAATGAGGCAGATATTGATTTTTTAAGATTTATTTTATTTATTTGAAGGGCAGAGTTCCAGGGAAAGAGGGAGAGACAGAGAGATCTATCTGCTGGTTTACTTCCCAAGTGGCTGCAACAGTCAGGGTTAGGTCAGGTTGAAGCCAGGAACTGGGAGCTTCCTCTGGGTCTCCCAATGGGTAGAGGGGCCCAAGCATTTGGGCCATCTTCTGATGCTTTCCCAGGCACATTAGCAAGGAGCTGGATCCGAAGTGGAGCAGGGCCGGCACTGTGGTGCAGTGGTTCAGTCCTGGCTGCTCCACTTCCAATCTAGCCATGCTAAAGCCAGGAGCCTGGAACTCAATCAATATTCATCCGTGTGCAGCCATTACTACAATCCAGTTTTTTTTTTTTTAAAGATTTATTTATTTACTTGAAAGAGTTACATAGAAAGGGAAAGAGAGGCAGAGAGAGAGAGAGGTCTTCCATCAGCTGGTTCACTCCCCAGATGGCTGCAACAGCTGGAGCTGCGCCGATCTGAAGCCAGGAGCCAGGAGTTTTTTCTGTGTCTCCCACATGGGTGCAGGGACCCAAGGACTTGGGCCATCTTCCACTTCTTTCCCAGGCCATAACAGAGAGTTAGATTGGAAGTAGAGCAGCTAGTCCTCGAACCGGTGCCCAGATGGGATGCCAGCACTGAAGGCAGCGGCTCTACCCGCTACGCCACAGCACCAGCCCCTTGTGTGTGTGTGTGTGTGTGTGTTTTAATTTACTTACTTGAAAGTCAGAGTTACACAGAGAGAGAAGGAGAGGCAGAGAGAAAGAGAGGCCCTCCATCCGCTGGTTCACTTCCCAGTTGGCTGCAATGGCCGGAGCTGCAT